TTAGTATACTCTGTTATTATCTATATATTATCTTGTAAGGTGGTTGAGATATACACGTGTAGAGGTGCGCAAAGTTGGTGGGGTGGCTCACTCGCTTGCCTGGCTCACTCGCTTGCCAACCATGTTAGTGTTTTTGCACTTTCGTCAATCATCCCTGTGTTTTGCACAGTGCGGCCATATATCCTCCCGGTGGAGGCGCATGTCGAACCATAACCCGAGGAGCAACACCGTAATCCTCTCACTTTTTCGTCCGTTGCAATTCCCAACGATGAAAATCTGTACATATAAAATAATCTTTCGTCTGCGGAAAAAGAGATATCCGCATCAACCCACCTTCGAGCCTTACTTTCGATATGCAAGGCTTCAAAGACTTCGACCCCGCAAAGGATGTTGGTGACCTCTTGGGCAAGGTTATCGTGATAACCGGAGGTTTGTACATCGGTCCCTAAATGTTGACAGCGCCCTAACAATCATCCCAGGCACCGCGGGTTTAGGAGAAGAAAGTGTTCGAGCATTCGTGGCGCACAACCCTTTGCACATCTATTTCACAGGCCGGAACATCATTGCAGCGAACACATTAATCTCCGACATCAAAGTCAAATACCCAACAGCATCGCTGAGCTTCATCAAGATGGATCTCTCGTCCCTTCGCGCTGTCAAGGAAAGCATAGCGGAAGGGTTCAAACACGATCGCCTCGACATACTAATGAACAACGCTGGGATTATAGCCAAGCCAGCCGCCTTGAGTATCGATGGCTACGAGATCCAGTTCGCGACGAACTATCTCGGCCACGCGATGCTCACCAAACAGTTGTTACCCGTTCTACTCAAGACAGCCAAAGATCCCAACTCAGATGTTCGCATCATCAACACCACCTCTGCGGGTTACGAATTCCACCGCGCCATCAAAGGTGGCATTTCCTTCGAGGAGCTCGACTCTGGAAGCACGATGTCCAGGTTGGTACTAGGGGGATGGATCCGTTATGGCCAATCTAAACTCGCGACTATTCTTTTCACGAGGGAGCTCGCACGTCGACACCCAGAGCTGACATCCGTGGTGATCCACCCAGGGCTCGTCAAGACACCAATGAATACCGAGATGGCCGGCTTGAGCAAGTTCTTCGTGAATGTAACGTCGCGGCTTTCGGGCGAAAAGTGGCTTGAGCCGCACCAGGGTGTTCTGAACCAGCTTTGGAGCGCAGACGGAGCGGAGAAGGGAGCATTGAATAATGGAGCATACTACACGCCAGTAGGTGTAGATTCGACGGAAAGGTTGACAGCAGAGGCTAGAAATCAAGCTCTAGCAGAGAAGTTGTGGGAGTGGACGGAGAGTGTGTTGCTCAAGGTCTGATAAGTGCGACTGGGTAGTTTAGCAGCACTCTCCAGTTACTGAGAATATACTCCTTTCCAACCTCTCATCAGCTCAGGACTCAGCTCATTCATGTATGAGACCTACTCTTCAATTTACCATAATGGAAAGCTCTACGTAGAAATCTTGAAATGTTTCTTTGTTTTCTTCTTCTCATTCTTTGTTTTCCTGGTATGTGAAGCTAAAGCCTTATTTTCTTTACCTCATAGCCGGGGCAGTAGGTTTCGGCTACGTAATGCCGAAGAGAGGGTAGATACTTTGGTCAAATGCTTGTGTTTTTAATTTGTACCAGATTAAGTTCTGAAGTATGCACGTAATCATGCATGTTGATTTGAGATGAATCGATTTGCTGGGGTGCTCCAAACTGGACAGTGAATCGGCGTAGGCCACACATCGTCGGTCTTATTGCCAACCACTACAATTTCAAGTAGATACCGCAGCATGACATGAATTAAATGCTTATAAGTAACCTCGTGCGATGCCGGATTGATGAGAAACGTTGTATAAGCACTGTACCGCTTGCGAAGGGGCCAGGAAGGTGGCAGCTGGAATACCGCATCGAAAACCAGTTGTTGGGAAAATTGCGACGCACTTCGTTATCGGGAAGAATGTAGGCTGGTCGCTCGACGCGCATTTGGGACAAATTCGATGATGGTGTCGCAAAACTCGCGTGGAGGCGATAACAAGTTTTCACGCACGGCACTGATGATGATGTGAGGACGGGCGCAAAAAGATGAGGGCTGAAGCACACATAGACCCAACGAGGGACCTCCGAGACTAGTTGAAGACGCTAGGCTAAATATGTATATAAGCTTTGGTCGGACCCGCTCAGGCCTGTTGTTCGCAGCTGCCCGTTTCCACTTGCTCGCTTCTGCCGCGTGATGAGCGCCTTCTACTTGGCGCTGCTACCTGAAAGCTTGGAGTAGAATGGCGCCCTGCACGCAACATTCAATCTCATCGCCTCTTCAGACTACCGAGCTCATATCATCCACTCTGATTAGTTTTGTTCAAGTCGTTCACCACTTCGATTGACTCTGTGATCTATGTGGTGTGACATCCGCAGTGGTCAGCTATCTTCGACTCCGTCAGAAGTGATGAACACTGTTCGCGCTTGCTAGGATAGATGGTGAAAAAATAGAAGAGGATGAGGAAGAGAGAGAGAGAGACAGAGAGGGATAGTGAGGTCGAGTTGAAAGAAGCATTGAGGAAGTAGGAGCGGGGTTTGAGCATATGTTATGGACTAAGATTAGACTTGCGTTGTAAAAAGCAACAAGGCCGATTTGCCAAGATGAACAATCACGATTAGAATTTGAAGATCAATGTTCAAGATTAAAGATGTAGTTTATGCTATAGAATAAACTACTGAGGTATCGCAGAGGTATATAATCCTTCCTTTCCTTCGTGTTATGCTTTACTTTACGTTTCGCAGAACCCAAACATTACTTCGTACAAGTGACTCATTCGTGTCATCACAACATGAATAAAACACTACCCATTACTCCATCTAGTGAACGGAGGCAGTGCGGTGGTTCTTCTCGGTGTCGATGACAACGGAACCGTTCCTCTCGATCATGGCAGTGCCACCCTTCTGGAGAGAGCTCTCGACGAAGGTGTGGGTTGGGCGCCACTTGGCGGAGGTACGGGGGGTAGTCTCGGCCATCATCTGGTCGACCTGCTCAAGGGAGAGACCCTTGGTCTCGGGAACCAAGAAGTAGGTGTAGACGAAAGCGATGGTGCAGAGACCTCCCCAGATGAAGAAGACGGAGGACCTCAGGTTACCCTCATCCTTGCCAACCATGTAGGGGGTGATGACGGCGATGATGGTGTTCCAGAGCCAGTTGGAGGCAGTGGAGAGGGCAACACCACGCGAACGGATGGGAAGAGGGAAGACCTCACCGATGAGGACCCAGGCACCAGGACCCCAGGTAGTAGCGAAGAAGAGGATGAAGATGGCGATGAAGGCGATCTGGGCGTTGACGGCGGAGATGTTGTTGGCGCGGGTGGTACCATCTGCGAGGGTGGTGGAGTTGTTGAAACCCTGAGTAACACCGATGATGGCAACCAAGAACTGGCAGATCAACATACCGAGGGCACCGAAGAGGAGGAGTGTGCGGCGACCGAACTTCTCCATTCCGTAGAAGGAAAGAGGAGTGGAGCAGACGTTGACCAGGGTGAAGACGAGCGAGATCAAGAAGGTGTTGCTGATGGCACCGGTCGATTGCAAGAAGGGTGTGGAGTAGTAGAAGATGAAGTTGACACCAGTCCACTGTTGCATCATCTGGAGGGAAGTACCGAGAATGGTCTTGCGGAGGTTGGAGTTGGACTGGAAGAGGGAGCCCTTGAAGCAGTTCATCCATCCGGCAAGCCAGCCACCAGCAGGGATAAGCTCGCGCTCGTACTCCTCGTTGGCGATGATCTCGGCAAGTTCGAATTCGACCAGGGACCTGAGGTGGGCGGCATCGGGGCTAGTTGGGTGTACACCACGGATCTTCATCAGGGCCTTCTTGGCCTCATCGGGACGGCCGCGCTTGACGAAGTAACGAGGGGAGTCGGGAAGGCAAGCAATACCAGTACCCAAGATAAGACCCCAAGCGAACTGGATACCGATGGGAATGCGGTACTCGCCACTGTCACCACGGTCCTGAACGGCGTAGTTGACGCAGGCAGCGAGAAGGAGACCAATGGTGATGCAGAATTGGTAACCGGAGACGAGCGCACCACGAACCTTCTTGGGGCAAATCTCGGACATGTAGAGAATGACGATAGCAGACTCGAAACCGACACCAACACCGGCGATGGCACGACCAGCGACAAGGAGGTCACGTCCGGTTGCAGCCATTTGCAGGACAACACCTAAAGCGGGGGTTAGTGGCTGATCAACATGGTAGTACATGCGGGGATTTCATACCGATGATGTAGATGAGACAACCCAAAACGATCGTCCATTTACGACCAATCATGTCTGAGAGATCACCAGCGATGAGAGCACCGAAGAAGGTACCAGCGGAAAGGATCGACACAATGAGCGAGGTGTTGCTGGAGCTGATAGCGCAAGCGCCATTGGGGGTATCAAGACCCTGGGGGCAGATGGGACCCTCGACCTCCTCGATGAAAAGAGGCGAGTTGAGCACACCGTTAACATAACCGGAATCGTAACCTATAGGATATGTGGTCAGCGGCTGAAGTCGCAAAGATTGTCGATCATCATCTTACCGAAGAAGATACCACCGAAGGATGCGAAGGCACAAAGGAGGTAGGCCTTCCAGGTAACGGGGCACTCAGTCATGTTGACATCAGTGGTAGCTTGGATGCCCTTGGGGTTGGCGGCCTCGTCGGCCATGTCGTGGTTGCTCATGTTGAGTGATGGAGCGAAGGTGTAGGCAGGGGAAGTTGACGATGCGCTCTATCTGAAGCTGTGCAGGTAGAACTCGCAAGCGGCCTTGGACGAAGAGGTGAATCTGAACGGGGTGCGTTGAGGGTTAATAACAATGCTGGAGATTTGAGATCTAGCTGTTCTGCGCGACAAGCGTACCGCAGAAATGGCTAGGTAACATTGCGTCTCAGCTAGTCGGCGTCTGTGCTTCCCTGCTATTGGGTGCGTTAGCCCTGCAGGCCCGTGAAAGGTGTACGCCACTGGCCATCTGGGGTATGGTCGCCCGCGTTTTGCCCTCTCCAGCTCTTTCTCCAGGCCCGACTAGCCTAGCAATTTGACAAGTGTCGGACCGGCATTTGAACCGGCTGTAATTTGCCCTTGGCGACCAGCGCACGGACTGCGCAATTTACAGTCTAGAACGCTTCCAGGTTTTCAGAGCCGCACGTGAGGGTTCCCCGACCAAGGGTTCCCACTTCACTAGACCCCACCATTGTGGCCCATGGAGTCTATTGTTGCCCATGGAGTCGGCTAACGTGCGTCTGGAGCAAGCAGAGCCTTAACTACGCTAGCCCCCAATACCAGGTCTGCGGCGCCCTATGCTCGGCTCACTCCGCCAACGCCGTCTACGTCTACTCGAGCTCACTGCGATGCTGCGCTGACGATGCGCCGAGTGAATGGCCTGTGCTATACTTTCAACCGCCTCTTGTTCCTTCCCCAGAACAAGACCTGGTGGCGGTGAGCTAATGCAACAGTGGCCGTCATGACCATGAACTGCTGATGCTGAAGTCGTTGGTCATGGACGCCTTACGGCCAATACGAGACGATACTCTGCTGCCCGTCGGAGCTCCTAATTAAGCGCGTGTGACTCCGCGAGTCAATGCAATTACCCCAGCACCACCAACCAGCCTCCCCTTCCTGTCCCGACAGTCGAAACCTCTAGCCAGGATGCCCTTGCACACCGTCCCAGGTGCGGCTGCAGGTCATCCGACTATGGGAAACTCAAGGCCAGTCCCTTCTATACGAGAGGTAAACCGTGGTAGTCGTGATGGCCGCCACCTGGACGAGGAAGCGCATGCCGAGGCTGTTCCTTCACGTGGGTCGGTGCAAATCACGCGGAGGGCTCCCCAGGCTTTGGTCCGATCCGGCCCACAGGTCTGATTGGCTCTAGAACGCGCTAGTGGCTCAGCCCGAGGAGCTTGACGTGGAAAAGAATTCTGCCCCATGTCCTCGAGTCGCAACGAGAAAATCTTCTGCGTCTCGGCTCCTGGCGAGCAAGTACATGACAAAGCTTTCTCGCCTACTCCGACAGCTGCTGTCCCGACGTTTTTCCAGCCCAGCGCATGACTCCACATGCACCTATCTTCGGTCCCACAAATGGTCCCGCGTACCCAACTTTCTCCAAACGTTTGTGCCATCTCTCCCCACATCATCTCACTCGAGCATCGCATGATGCATAACCTCTTCAGCTACAGCCTTTGGAATGTCCAATGCCTCTGCAGCTCCATGGAGAAGTAGTTTGATCGGTCGAGTTGCAAGAGATGTTCTGCAATTGTGAGGGTACTGCAGTTTATTCTTGATGAAAGACGTGTCTGCTTATCTACTTATCATCAGCATAGATTTTAGTCCTTTGCTTGTCTGCGCGCCGAGACAATGCAATGCAGCAAGGCTGGCCAATGACCGCGAGGTCGGCGGGGTAGTCTTCACAACCGCAATCCTTCAGCCTTCCGCGACTGCCTTGACAGTGTTCCTCCCGAACGACTTGCATCTACGCCGTCGAAACCATTAAATCTGTTTTCATGGCGTGGCATGACGCGACATGCGCAACGCTGGATCTGGAGTGGGAAGATGGACAGCCAGGGTGCCGCAAATGTGAGCGCAAGGCGCCTAAGCTAGCGCCTGTCCATCCGATTTCCCCACCTGCACCCCCGCCAGACACACCGCGGTCAGAGCTGATATGCACATGGCCTCCAAGCTTGTTTTCTCAAGCTCAAGGCGGAGATGACGAGGACTCAGATACGCTAGCTCGTATACTGGCGAACATCGATGAATGGACTGGTACTACTTCTACCCGATCATCGCAAAGGGAGCTGAAATCCGACCAGCAGACCCCGCAGCAGCAGCCACTAGATCGAAGCGAACCAGATTTACTGTTTCAGGGTGTCTATTCGCGTCTTCCGGATGCGAACTCCATTCGTCTCCTACGCCTTCGTGGTAGCGAAGACACCAGCCACCCCGTCTGCGGCACTCTAGAGAATCATCGACTTCACGATCCCTGCCGACCTATTTTCGAGGCGTTTTCATATACTTGGGCAGACTCACAGGGCAATTCTTCTTTGTGCAAGACCATCTTTCTCGGCCCACAGTATGATGTGCTACCAGTCACGACGAACTGCTTGGCGGCGCTCCGGCGGTTCAGAACTGTTGCCGACCGTCTCGTTTGGGTGGATGCGATCTGTATCAACCAGTTCGACTTGGAAGAGCGCGGACATCAAGTCTCACTTATGAGAGATATATATACCTCTGCAGCGAGGGTCCTCACGTACCTGGGTGACAAACATGATCTACTTGACACTGTAGCTGAGCGTTCAGATAGCGACGGCCAACGCTTCGATCCACTTCATGTGGATCTTAAAGCGATTGTGCGCATGCCTTACTTCTCGCGCATCTGGGTAGTTCAAGAGCTGCTGCTTAGCAAAACCGCCAGCCTGACCTTTGACGACCATACAATGCACTGGACAGATTTCTCGTCACATGTGAAGTCCTTAACTGCAAGTAGAGAAGATGGGTTTTACGGGAACTGGGTCGGACTTTTGAGTAAGAGAAGGAGAATCAAGGATCTGATGTCGGCATTGCAGATTACGCAGGACTGCCGATGTAGCGATCCGCGTGACCGGGTATATGGGTTGATGGGCCTGGTAGACGATGAAGATCGGAACAACTTCCCGATAGACTACGAACTCAGCGTACAACAGCTTTATACAGGCTTGACAATGTACTGGCTTACGAAACCTGGTAGTACGTTCTCTTCAGGCTATATATTGCATCGTGCTTTTTTCCCCAAAGAAATTCCTTTCCTCCCTTCTTGGGTTCCGGATTGGACATCATCGCTGAAAGCAGCACATACAAACCTCAAGGCAAACTCGATACCTGTAACTCAAATACGGCTACCCGGTATGATAGGATGCGATCATTCTTCCGGTCTGAGTTGGTTCAGTTCTCCTTTCGCCAACGAACGAGATGATCTCCGACATGGATGGTCGCTTGACGACAACTTCTGGAATCATGTTTGTTCAAGAGAACCCCAACGGAGTGATCGCTCCGCGTTTGAACCCAGATACTCGTGGGGAAAGCTCGCTATAGATGCAGGATGGAATCCTGATTCCCCAGCAAGACTGCTCTCAGCTAATGGTATATTGGCGCTTGATGCTGTCCACATCTTATCTATTCGTGAGGGCAAAGTGGAAATTATTGACACCGATGGAAAGAGCCTGCAAGGGTTGTATGTCGCCGGCTCGGATCACAGCAATTCTGGCGAGACACATATGCATCCGGACGAAATCGACTTACATATCGTTCTGAACTGGCAGCGTCCGTTTTTACTCAAACGTTATCGGGATGGTGTTTATAGTCTCAACAGCCCGTGTCGCATATCCTACACCCCCGAAGGTCCTTTGGCTGATCTTGGAGCCCATCGGAGATTACCAGACATAGTAATGAACCTTGGATCGTTGGAGACTCGAATCGTAGAACGCTGGCTGATTAATCTTTTCTTTTTTGGAGTTCGTGCCGGTACCGCATTCGCTACCTCCAGAGACAGATTTCTGATCCAGCAAAAGTGGTTTGATTGGCTTCCAGTAGCATCGGATACTTGCTTAGGCATGGAATTCTTACTCGATCGCTATGCAAAAGGAGAACATGATCTCCTGGCACTAAGCAGCATGACAGACTTACGAAACGACATCATGCATTTCGTCAGGGAGAACGAGATTTGCGGACCCCATGCCAGATCGCAATTTTGTTTACCAGCCTCGATTAAAGACAAAGCACTATTCGAATCTTTAGTCGATCTGTTTCCTGATCCTTCATGCAATAGAGACGTGGATACAGAACTCGCTACCCGTCTTGAACAGGCTGAAGCAGCTTGGTGTTGGCGAACACTTTCGATGCAAGAGATGATTGCCTCTTTGAAAGGGATAGTAAAACTTCAGCAAGATGCCTGCAAAATATACCCACCGTTAGACACAGCCATGTCAGACCTCAGCGGTATTGCATTCCGACCTCGCATCGCCGTCCAATTACCCACCAACCTTGTTGGTAACGCTTTTAGTCTTGAAAGCTTCGAAGCTTTGCATCCTCTTTTATCACCAATAGTACAGGGCGAGAAACCGCCAACTGGGAATTCGAGATTTTTTCTCGATGAAGGTCGAATTGTCCAAAGGGCTTGGTCGCTATTGAAAGATCTGACAATCGATGTGAAGTATACGCTCCAGCAGAACCTTAGCATTTTATGGATCCACGTGTTGACGATGGAGATGGTGGCACGACTACGCGGTGTGCTGCAACAGCGGCTCATATTGAAGGCTATTAGGGACAAGATGAAGAACGTGCAAAGCATATACCTTATTTAACCCAGATAAGCCGGTTCGGGTTCACGTATTATCGAATTTTCAGAGTAATATTGCTACCCTATGGCTCTCTTCCTTCAGTATTTACGTTGTTCGAATTTTGTTGTTGAAGCTAATGGCAAAAGGCACAAGATGCGCAGGAAATAGTGATTGTATTTCCATCCACTAACATGTACAGAACAGCGCAGCACGGCTGCGACTATCACACTAATATTTATATAGAAAGGGCCACTTGGCAACATCAAATCCTTCAATCACCTCGATCGTCGGAATCATCCAGCGAGCATGCTTCGGGAGTATGGAAGTGCATCGCTTATTCCTTGCGGAGAAGAGCCTCACGGAAGGCACGGCGGCCGC